CAGGTCCATGTCCTCCTTGTGCTGAGGGCTCCAGAGCTGGACGCAGGGCTCCAATGATCAGAGAAACGCTTGCAAGAGCTCTTCTCATCCCATTGCCCCCAGCGCAGGTTTTTGCACTATTGCAGCAAATCTCGGGACGGGCAGGGAAGAGCGAGCGGCTGCGCCCTGCCCTTCTGCAGCTGAGATGGCTTCTTTATGGGCTACTGAGTTGGTTTTAAAACCCAGCGTGAAAAATCTAAACAAGCACACGTTGCGATTTCAAGGATTTGTTTTATTTTTTTTCTTTTTACAGCTTGATGCAGAGAACTATATTTTTGCAGAGAAAGACATACAGATGAAATAAGTGTTATATTTTAGTATTTTTAGATATTACGTGCGTTGCTACGTCCCCCAGCAGTGCAACAGATGTATTTAAAGACTGTAGCCAGTTTTGCTTTACAAAAATATAGTGAGGACAAGAGTTGGTTTTCTAATAACACTATATATTAAAAATATATATATAAAAAAATCTGCATGTTTCTGACTCTGCTATAGCTCAGCTTCCTAAGAAAATGCGGCTTAAGAGCTCCTGATGCCCGTGTATACGGACCTGTTTTCTTTTTTCCCTGCTTCAAACCATTTTGGAGCCCACAGGCTGTTTTTAGCAGTCCCTGATGGGGAGCAACTGCAAACCTATGAGGCAGTGCGACTTCTGTAGGAGTAAAGCCCTAAATGAGTAAAGCCCTGAGGACCTGGGGCTAATTAACATCCCCATTGATGGAAACATCACAGTTTAAGTTTAGTTTTTATCAGACAATGACAAATCTCCACGGGAGAGACCTGCACCGCACAGAGCCAGGCGAGAGCAGACTTTCTCGGTCCCGCTGCTCACAGAATTAACCCCATTAAATGGGGCCAGCTCCATGTGATACCCAAAAGCCCTCGGTGGAAACGGTGTTGATTTGCACGGAGACCGCCAATGGACCAAGCTCATGCTCAGAAAAATCAGGATCATGAGCGGTCAGCAGGTAGGGTACAACTTCGCAATGATGCAGGAATTCCCAAACCTTTTTGAGATGTCGTTCTCTCTTCCACACACCCCATCCCGGGGCTCCAACGCCTCTGTACCACTAAAGCCCCCTTCCCCCAAGTGTCTTGCCCCTGCCACAGGCCATCGTCCCTTGGCACTAATGTTTAAAAGCCTTTCTTTTTTAAATGCAATATATTTATACTCCCATTCCACGTCAATCCCTCTTTACTGTATTTCATTATAAAATCTTAATGCAATATATTTATACTCCCATGTCAATCCCTCTTTACTGTATTTCATTATAAAATATTTTTCCTGACGGAGCAGCGGGAGCAGCCTGAAGACCACAGCTCCTCAGGAAGAGTTTATGTGGCTCAGTTCAGAGCTGTGCCTGGATTCGGTATTCAGGATATCCAACGATGGCTTTTTTTTGTTTGTTTGGGCCCATCTTCATGATTTCCGCTTTGCCATTTTATCTTAAAATAAGATAAATCCAAGCACACTTTGCAAGTCTGGTCCATGATCAGAGAAGCACCATTTTGGCCTGATTAACCCCCAAAAGCTCTTTTTAGTGGGTCTGCACTGGCTCCTGGCTGTATGACCCCATTGCAGAGCCGCCCAGCTGGCCGTACACCAAAGCCATCCATCAGATCAGCTTTTCCCTTCGCGTAAATTTGCCGGGATTATGCATGGAAGATGCTGCTTTGCCGAGTGGTAGCAGGATTGCCCAGGAAAACGTTTTTATTTGCTTGCGAAAGAATAAGGAGCTGAGGTCGCCGAGGCTAAACTCTCCCATTAGATGGCAGCAAATGCAGCGATACCTTCAAACTGTGGAATATTTGTGCTGCAAAGAAAGACCAGGGAGCATGAACGGGGCCCAAAAGAGAGATCGGCAGAAGAAAAGGCTTCCCAGAACAGCAGGCAGAAAGAAACGCCTGTCTTATTCCACTAGAAATCGGGTTTGGAAGAAAGGATTGAGTTTGTGCCCCAAGGTGTTGCGTAAAACAAGCGCTACTCCTCTCTAAACCTCCCCTCCAAACCTGGAAAGGAATTTTTCATCGCCAGGTTGAGTGAAATGCCAGGAAGGCAATAAAGCAATGTTGGAAAACATGGTCAGCACGTTGCATTTGAAAGCATCTTTCACCTTTAATCATCCACGGTCCCAGCAAACGTTCCCACTCCGGAATCAAAGGGACCGCTCATTTGCAAGCTGTGAAACACGCGCACGAGGATTTGGAGGAAGATCAAGGTCTCAGATATTAATAGCAACAGGGAAACACGTATTTGCTTGGACCACAGGAATTTTTTTTTAAATCAGGTTGTTTCCCTTCGAGCCATTTGTAATTCCTCAAAGCGCTCCACGAGAATTAGAGGAGCTGCCCCAGCCAACCCAATATTAGACAAGATCTCAGACACGAGCCCAAAGCCAGCAGGGTTTAACACCGTCTCGCTTTGATGCATCCACCTCGAAAGCGGAGAACCCGGCCGAGCTCCTGACAAGTTGGCACAAACCATCGACCAGAGCTTTCGGTGCCCCAGCCACCGGGTCTCGGGTCTCGCCCAGAGTTTCACCCCATTCCCCTCGAAAGGCAGTGAAATCGGGATGCAGAGTCCATCCCGCTTCCCACGTTGGGATTGACAGGGCAGGAAACTCAAGCCTGATAAGAGGAAGTAATCTTTCTCACACTGTTTAATTAAACTGCAGAATTCATCACTGCAGGAAGTTGTTGAGGCTGAAAACTTAAACAAGGCTGAAAAGGGACCAGAGAGATACCAAAAACGTCCGTCACAACCAACAGCTCTCTCTGAAAATGCATTTAATTGCAATTAAGAACTAAAGCCTGCGCCTGAGAGCTGGGTGAGGCTGAGACCCTCTGCTCCTGCTTTCTTCCGAGCTTTTCATGCCGGGGATGGCTCTGGGGACCTCTGCTTGCTCCATCCCCCAGCCCTTTACTCCTGGAAGCCTTTCCCACACATTTTAGGGCAGGAGCGTCTTTCTTCTCCCCCCGCTCCCCAGTACCCACCTTGTGCGTGGTCACTGCTCATTGCCTGAGCTGCAGAAATGGGCATCTGCGTCCCCACGGGGCTGGGGGTGCGTGGGGTGCTGGGGGGCACTGGGTGGATCTGGTTGGGGAGCACAAATGCAGCACAGCAGAGCTGGAGGAGG